ATCCAAAAAGACAATACTATATAGCGCAATGCTATTCCAATGCATTATGGAGATGCAATTTAAATCGGCGTAAGTTTTGGAAAAATATCCTTAAAAAAAAACAGTAATATATTATAATTGTCACTTTGCATTGTGATTGCATTGCGCTTGTTTTAATTAAATATATACAGCGCTTGCTTTCCTAGTGCAGAATGAAAGTTATTCGAATTCTCAAAAAGAATTTTAAAGTACAACTAGATTGTATTGATATAAGTATTTGTTTTTTATGATATATTATTGTCGAATTTGAACGATTTACAAATTGTTATTTATTACAAAAGGACAATTTAAATATATATTTTTTCACTGGTATTCCTGTAACGTACATTTCCCTAAACTATGTCCAAGTGTTTATTATAATTCCATCTATTTGTGTATATTTTCCTTCCATAATTTGAAATTAATATCAGGTATTTCGCCACAATTGACCACTGGATTGCTATAATTTTAAAATTTTGCAGATTAATATGAATGAACCGAATTAAAAGTACAATTATATAATGGGTATATGATCAACTTTCTAGATTTAAATATTTAGAGTAAATTTAAATGACAGTGAGAAATAATTATCGGCATAATTCCCTTTTTTCAAGTTCAATATAAATAATTTTAATATAAGAAACCTTCGAATTTTGATGTTTAGAATGTGTTACAACAAATACCAAAATATTATAATATCTCTTCTCAACTTAGCAATAAGAAAATATGAATTAAACAACTAATACGAATATTTAATTAATTCCTATTAATTTACGGATAATAAATTACAAAAATTAATATTTTCATAATGTTGTAAAGTAAGAAAAAGGCCTTCTGATGAATAATATCGATTATATAACGTCACGACAATGAATTTGTGATAGTCCTCATTTTTTTCTACGATATTAAAATTTTTAAACCTCCATTGCCTAGATGGGAAAAATATCAAAAGGTAAGGTTGGGTTTTTCTTACCTCAAATTAAACATTTTAAGCTCTTATATTTAAAAAAAACGTTTCTTCTTTTCAACTTGAGCAGTATTTTTTTAAGAAATGCAAAAAGCAGACAATGTTCTCTTTTTTTAAAGTCAAAAGACGTTTTCATTTAAAATATTTGAAATATAACAAACGATTTAATTTGCAAGCTTCAAGTGTTTTATTTTTTCAATTAATCATTTTTGACTTGATTATATTTCAAAAATTTGGCTTTACTTCATATTAATTGATCCAACCACGATAGACAAAAAGGTTACTGGAAACAATGACGTCAAAATGCAAGTAACCCTTTTTTAAAATATAACTGTCCACTTAATGCATAACATTATCCTTTAACGTTAGGAAGGGGGGGGGATTGTGCAATTGCATAATTAAAATTATATTTCATATATTACTAGTTTTCAGAGTCTTTATCATCATTTGCTTAGGGGATATAGGCATTTAGAAGATTGGCATAGAATTTTTATGGAGGAAGCAAAAACTAAATAAATACGGTACCAAATATAATAGAGAAACTTTTTAATGGCTATTGTAGATTATTTCTTTAATTTAAAGAATTAGGAGAATTCCTTTCGGTTCAAAAGGGAATTAACTATTTTATATTTTAGAGCTATGAATCCTAAAGATTATTTCAGAATAGTATTTTACAAACATGCTTAAGACATTTTTTAATACCTTAATTTATTTAAGGTTATAATAATAATTAACAATCTTAGAAGAAATTAGTTAAATCATATCAGCACTCATATTGAAATGTAAGTGAACACCCTGTATTTTGCAATCAATTTACCAATCAGGCTAATATATCGACAATTCTGATTCTTACTAGAATTCTGATGAGGTGACTTGTAGAAATATCGATGGAGGCTGTAAATTAGAAAGAAATAGTTTATGTTTATAGTATGATCTATTTAGTAGAACATTTTAATAGGGTTAGCCTCCCACTCCTATGATGTAGCCTATGCCAACATTTTGATATTGCTGTTGAAAAAAATTACATGGGTGTTGTATTAAATATCCGGAATAAAGGCAATTAGAGTATATCTTTGCATCATTTTTTTATTTTAAATAATCGAAAAAACGGTTTCCTTTTCTTTCGCTATATAATGAAGATTAACTGTAACGAGGCTAATATATTTTCAATATTTTATTATTCGAATCAAAAAATTTGTTTGCTCGTAATATTTTCGAGTAATTTTTACGAGCAAACATACCTTTCAAAATTTTAAAAAAGTTGGTCATAAATCAACTAAAAACTATTATAATTGAACGTTTACCTTTAAATCTTATCCGCTAACAATGATAATTATATACTACCCAAACTAAAAAATAATTTCGGGTTTACATTTTATTAGCAATCTTTACATGCGAGTTTTTATTTCTAATTTCGTGTTTAGTTATTGTTTTAAACAGGGTTTCGAACCGGACTAATCGATATAATTTTCTGAATTGTGACCCAACCGTTATAAAGAGAATATAAAAAGAGATAACTGAACTGTTATAAATAAATTCGTGATTAAAATTGTTTATACAATTAAATCGCCATTATCTTCATATCATTCAATACCAAGTTTATAATTTTTACTTTATATACTCAATTTTATAGAGATCAGGTAAATTACTAGTTAATTAGATAAGAAATAATTTTTACGATTAAATTAAATAAAGAATTATAAAAATATAAATTCTAAAGATCATTCTCTAAGAATAGGTTAACGTCTGTTACTTTTTCTGCTTCAGTTCATTATTTGAGCCCGTTTTTCAAAATTTAAAAATCTGATTTTACCGAAAATGTATGCCATAATTAATACCCACCATATGAATTTCAGACAATATTTTCATGAACTTTTAAACTTAATATAATTTATAGTTTTCCATATTTTTTATATGAATTATAATTGACTCAAAGATTAACAGCAAAATTGTCTACAATTCACAAGGTTGGTATTCCAAATATGCAGATTTCTAAATTTAAAAAAAAACGCGCTCAAACAAATGATTTAAAGTTATAAAATCAACACATTGACGCTAACATATATATGGTTTATGATTAATTTTTTTAAAAATCAAATTTATGAAAACCGGGATGAACCGAAAAGAACAGTTATAAATTCTAAACCTAACTGATAAAATTTCTTCATAAAAAAACCGAAATGGAGCAAAATCTTTATAAAATTTTTAACTAAAAACCAAACTGCTGTACTTGTTCGAAGCCCATGTTTTAAATGGTCATAAAATGTCAGAGTGAATGAAAGATCACCCGCTTTTAAATATCTGCTAAAAATAGTTAACATTTAGTTTTTCTAATCTCAAATGCCTCGTGGAATGCAATTGAACCTATTATCCAGGAGAAAATTCTTGATTTACATGAAGGAATTAATTTAGCCATAACCGAGAAAATCCACCTGGCCAGATAAGCGATTAGAGACATTATTAACAAATTATTGATTCCATCATATTTGCTGGCATTGGCGTCAAAATGTGACAACATCCATGGATAAAGTTTACAACAAATTGTTTATTTGACTCAAAAATTAGGAGATAGGACGACTTTCTTAAATTTTATAAAATGTTTATTTTATACCGTAACTATACTTTTTAATTTATAGGCCAAGGAAAAAAATATATTAACAGTTAACCAAAAGAAGAAACGATACTATTTCGCAAAGAAATATAAAGATTGTACCCTTATCAAATAGTCAAAGTTGTTTTTGGCCACGGGTCTAAGATTATATAGAAATATGAGAATATTCATAATAATGTGGTACACAAGCCAAATAAAGCATTCCATCCTGATAAATAAAAAATGTTCGGGAAAATTAAATCTAAGCACCGCAAGACATTGTTCGAGACAATGTTAAGGCTTCAGTTCGTTATTAGATCTAAAAGGGACTTTTCTAAATTTTGACCCATATTAGCATGTGATTACACGAATCAAAATGATATTTTTATTTATGCTGTAACTCTTGACATATTCAATTTTTTTTAAAACAAATTCTTGTTTATATGCGCAGTTAGAAGTATATTTAATATTACTAACTTAATCGCATAAAATAAATAACCCGAATTGTTTTTGGTTAGTATATGTATTGAGATTAGTGATCTGCATCGGGCCTAATTTTTCAAGCCCGACCCGACCCGAAATTTTTTTTAAAAAGTTTTGCCGGCCCAAATCCGAAATTTTTTTAAAAAGTTTTGCCTGCCCGAGTTCCCGGCCCGAATCCGAATTTTTTTTGAAAAGTGTTGCCGGCCCGGCCCGAATCTGAAATTTATTTTAAAAAAATTTACCGACCCGGCCAGGCCCGAATTTATTTAAATATAGAAATTAATTTTTATAATTACTTAAAATAAAAGACATATGTTATATAGCGTTTAGTTTCAATAAATTAAATCAAAATTTTTTTATTTTACATAAAAAATTCAATATAAAATTGATAAATTTAGATATATTTAATAAAATTTCTAAAGTCCGACCCGACCCGGCCCGAAATTTTTTAAAAATATTAGGCCCGGCCTAGCCCGAACCCGATTATTTTAAATAGAAATAGGCCCGAGCCCGGCCTGAAGCTCGTACGCCGGACTCGGGCCGGGCCTAACTTTGCAGATCTCTAATTGAGATATGGAATCCGTGGGGATTCGGATTCTCCCTATTTTAAATCATTTGCGGAGCGCGATTTTTAAATTTTATGATTTGACCGGAAATGTATATCAGCATTTCTTAAGAGTACCCACATGAATTTCAAACGATTTTACCGCGGACTTTAAAATTTTTTTTCATATAAATTAAGAAATACGCAAAGGTTTATGGCGAAAAAAGTCAGAAATTAATAGGGTCAATACTCTACACATTTTGGAATAACGTTTCAGAATAAATAGGATTTATAAAATAGCTTCAGTAAATGATTTAAAATCGGGGAATTCTTAATTCACCATAGATTTCATATCTCAATACGACATATATAAAATCGAATCAAATGCTAAAATATACTTTAAACTTGGTTGTCTAAAAACATTTCGTTGTATGGTTGTGATAGTATCTGTATTGGTACAAGTAATCTTGCTCAAAGTTATTTTCCTGATTTCTTGTAGTTGTTCTGTTAGGATATTATTTTGTTGTGACCAGAAAATTTAAAGTCAAATAATATTTGAAATTAATAATATAATTTTTATAAAAACCTGGTTTAAATGGGTTATCAATAATGCCGAGTTTGGGAAAATTTTCATACCAAAATCTATCACCAAATCTCATATTATGGAATTGTAAACCGACTATGCACGAAAATGTAGGACCTAGAATGCCAATATTATTTGTAGGTAATTCAGAGACACCTGCAGGAAATAAATCGATATCATCTGGGTGTCTGTTAAAATTTAAATTATGAATATAATTTTTATTATTTAGAATATTTTATTAATAATAATCGTTGATACAAGAATAAGGATTTAATAGTTGCTATAAGAATAAATAGATTTTATTATTTTAAACGAATTTAATATAATATATGAATATGTCCTAATGTAATAAGTAGGTGACACCATGTTGGTAGTTAGATTGAACATAATTTTTTTTCTGTATAGAATAGCTATTTTCCTGAGACATCTTCAATTCTAGGGTTTTTCCCACAAATTTCTTTAAAAATATGATATAAGCTAATATTTTGCTTTTGGGTATGCCTTATCCAAGGCCATTTGAGTTTAAATGCGGGAAGTATTATTACGAAAATAAATATATTGAATCTTAACACTTACTATAGTTAAAAATATTAAAATATAAGTATTGATTTGTAATAATTTTAAATTAGATTAGAAGTATTAGTATTTATATTTTATTCAAATTATTATGTTAGCCTCGAGATTTGGCAAATAACCTTCCAACCCTATCTGCCATCTGTATAAGCAAAACTTTAAGCTTACATTATATTATTTTGGTTTTAATCTTAATCGGTTTTTAAAAATCGAATCGAATCGGGCTTTTTAACAACATTAAGAAGTATACACTCCGGGGGTTTTGGAAAATGATTGAAGGAAAAAAAGGAAAGTATATAATAAAATTCCATTTTATTTTAAATATTAAATTCTGAATTTCGCGAATTTGTAACACCATTTTTTTTGTTGTTGCTTCGATGACGCAACCGCTCATCACTCAAGAACCTATTAAATAAATCCACTAGATGATAGTACATTTGAATAAGTAAAATTTTTATAAAATTCATATCCCGTGAAACATAATTTAACAAATGATCAATGATACTATTAACTTAGCTGACGATTCATACATTAAAATCTATAAAAGAAGACGCATACATTGAAGTCTGCCATTGAAAGATGTTTAGACCAAATTTGAAAGGCATTTAGTTATAATCTTCAATGGCGTCTACTACAGCTAATGATATTGATTGACTACAGCTGCAGTTTATGTACACTTTTAAGAAATAAATCTTCAAACTAGATTAGTATCAATGTAATTGCTGATAAGATTTCTTATTCTTTTTTTTTAACATTCATAAATAAAATTATGCATTTAAAACAAATGGAAAATTTCTCTCTAAAAAGGGCATAGATAAAAACACAACTAATGAAATTATCATGTCAATCATAAACTGGATTATGTTTTTCTTACGTAATAATTAACACGAAACTATATATAGCCATTAGGTTGCGAATTACGAATTTTTAAGAAGAAAAAAATAATTGAAGACCTGCCAGTTAAAATTTTAAGGCGGAATTTTTACCGTCACTTATGTCATGACACACATCAATTTTTTTCTGTAATTATTTATGATCGGCGACAGTTATTAACCTTAATAAAAAATATAAATAATTTTTTTTAAAAAAATTGATCTATATGAATGATAAATACTTGTAAACATTGGAGAAACGTTCTGCAGCACCTGGAAACATTTCTTCTTCCATTGAGTAGAAATCTTCAAATCTAGTGAATCCGCAAAATTGGCGCCACTCATTGTAACCAGGAACTCCGTGTTCTCGTCCTCTCATTAAATTGAGAACCATTAAATCCATACCTAATTAACAATTAAAAGAAAATACAATTTCAATGTATCTAAAAAATCAAATATTATTTTAGGCTATGACCAAAATATTAAAAAAACTAAATTAATATACTTTCTTAACTTTATCGAAAAAAGTATTTTTAATTTAAAAATAAAACAGTGGCCAAAATCATTTTTTTTAGGAAATTACGAGAGTTTATTAATTTTTTAATGTTAAAGAAATTATAAAAATTTAATAAATTTTAGCTTAAAGTTTATAAAGTTGCGAAATTTTTACGAAAGAAAAAGTAAGCCTAAGCAGTATATTAATTTATATTTTTTAAAATTATAATAAGAAATGGGCAGTTATAATAATAAAAATGGGAAGTATAAAAATAATCTGGTAAAAAATTATGAATTTCAAAATTTACAAAACTTTTAAAAAATTTTATCGGAAGATTTTGGACGTTTCATAATTTTCTAATTACGAAAGTTCTTAAATTTTCAGGATGTCATACCATAAAAAGAGTTTTTTTTCCTTCTATCTTTTAGATTTACAAAATTTTCTAATAACTTTCAGGTTGTTTGGCAAATAATAAACTATTTAAGCCTCTCCTTTGCCATAGTCCACCTAAATATATCTTTATTGATTAATTTTAATCTTAAAAGATTTCGTTGGCACCCTAATAAATAGCAAATTTATCTGCCACCCCGGGCAAATGATCCAAAAAGTCCATGCCTAGCTGGCTCTGGTGCATTTGCTCTATCGATGTGAAATTAAAATGGAAAAAGACTTGCAAATAAAAGTTAAAAATGAGGATTTTAACTCCTATATTTTAACATTGAACGCGTTATAAAAGCAGAGTTAAAAGTAGATCCAAACTAGGCTTTAGCATTCTTGTTTTAATTTAAAAATTATTAATGTATCATGAAAACATAAATATTAAAATATTAATATAAAAATATTTTGATCAAAAATTATTACCGAAAGGCACGTGATCTTCTTCGAATAAATGATTTTTAACATCTTCGGCAATGTTATTGTCCATAAGTTGAATATGTTGTTGAAATATTCCCCTCACTAAAGGGTCCATTCCTTTGGGAAATTTTTCGTCGTAGATATTTTCAGGTCTGAAAAAATCGGTCTTAAGATGAAGTGGGGATTGATAATCGTTATTTCTACTTATCCGGAACATATCCTTACTTGTGATTAATTTTTTTAAAAATATAAAATACAATATATTATTGACTAACCTATATAAAATAGAATATTTTGCAATTCACAATTCATAAAGCCCTTTTATATTTTTCAAAAATTCTTGCTCCAGGGGGTGGGGGGTTTTCTTCCCCTCTCCCACTTCCAGCTGGCTACCCGCCTGAGCCTTTTTAAATTCTTTCAAAATATTTTGCTACGAGGGGGAGGATTTCCTTTACCCCCCTCCAGCTGGCTACGCGTCTGCCAAGAACGGAATTATCTAGTTGGCTTTAGAAAAAAACATGATCCCTGCTGGATTCCCCAAGACTATGGGATTGTGCTTCACGCACTAAACCATCTAGGCCACAGACGCTACTCGAAAACATCAAATTTTTTTGTATATATAAGGATAAAGTTATAACGCTATTTAATATTCTTAAAGACACATATAAAAAATCAAATTCTGATGCAATATATGCAAGTAAATGCTCATATCATTTATTTTTTATTTATTGATGCTCTTTTCTGGGGATAGGTTTTAAATCGCGAAAACAAAAATTGCTAAAAATTGGGTATCTCGCTTATATTTCCTAGAAAATTTTTCTAGTAAATTTGATATTAGTAATAATTGATACTAAATTGAGTTTTGTTAGAAAATCGCTAAAAATGGAAGAAATATGCTTCCAATTTGATTATCAATTCTAGAAGATATAATCGAGATCGAATTTTTAGCAATTTTTGTTTTGGCCATTTAAAATGGGAACTCTATTTCCGGGATTTTTTTTTAAAGATTTTTTTTCCTATTACCATTAAAAATATACTTTATTAAACTATGGCCAAATCGGAAGGCAGCCACGGCAAATCCCTGATCTATAGTAGCATCAATATCTTCATTGTAACCGCTAAAATAACCGCTATCCGCCAGCTCTAAATTGAACCGTTTAATATCACCAGGATTTATTATAACTGGTACGAATTCTTTAAATGTAATATGCTGAATAAAGGCTGCTATTATTCTGCGACCTTCTTGATACCTTATTTGCGAAATATTTTAATTAAAACAAATATAATATTTATTGATGAATAATTCGCGTTTTTTTGTCTATTGGTGATATATTATGCATTTTTTGTTTAAAAATTATAAATAAGAATATTTCCCTATTGAATTTTAGGAGTTTTGTTTCTGTATACACATTAAAAAAAATAGTAATTTCAAGTTGAAACGGTATTATTAGACTATCCCAAAATATTATCAAATGATTCAGTAAATGTTTAGGCCTCTTTCCCAATTTCTTGCTTTGTAGAAAAATAAATTGATATTAAAAAAAATAACTTAACGAAACATTGGCCAAGCTTATTTTTATGAAATAGTTTTTAAAAAAAACTAAATAGAATTTTCCATCAAATATTTTTATTTCTCTTAATTTTCTGATTATTAATAAGTGGATCGACTAAAAGTAATTTCGTCTATCGACAACTAAAGTATTCTATGACATTCATACTAACCTAACCAATGCATTTATTAATGTTTATACATTGAATTCAGAGGCTAGTCGCTTATTAATATTAGTGGATATCTCCCACCCTTTAGGGGTAGGTACTCTTAGTTCTTCTGAGAGTAGACACAGCCGTTTTAGTAAATTTTGATACACTTTCCTCCTTGTTTACCTTGCTCATTGCGATAACTTGCAGAGGAGGTATACTAATCCTATTTTTGTAATCCCGTGCCCCGTCTCCAACCCCAATAACCAAGGTAAACAAGTAAGAAAGTGCATCAAAATGACAAGGGGGCGTATCTTATGGAGGTGTTTCATTCCTCGCAGTAATAATTTGATGCATAAGCCACTTTACCCCTTTTAACATAGAAAATGTCTTTCACATTTCGTCTAAATGCTTTCCAGTCACGACTTTCGATGTATATAATATTTTTAAAGTGGTATTTTAATAAATGGATACCAGTCTAGATTATATTTATAATGAGAGTATTTATATCGCCAATTAATAACTTCTTCTAATCAGTGTTGAGCACGTTACTCGAAAATAAAATTAACGGTTACCGTTATTCAAAGAGAAAATGAATTAAGTTATTGTCGTTATCTCAAAAAAAATAAATAATAGGTTAACGGTTGCGTTATCATTATTTTATAACGTGTAAAAAAAGGCTATTTTGTTACATAATTTAAAAATAAGAATAAATAAAAAAAATCGAGAAAATATGAAAAATAATTTCATTGATCAATTTTTCTGTCTAGTCTAAAATTGAAAAAATCAGAGTAAACAGAGACTTGTATAAATTTTTTATATTTTCTAAAGAAATTTTTTCATTTATTTTAAATGAGGGGATTGAGAACCATTTGCCGCTTATTTAATTTTGTTCACATTTGTGAGAAGACTTAGATTAGTCAGCTCAAAAAAAAGAAGAATATACACACTTTAACTTTAAAATTAACAAAATGCTTTTTATTTATGACGTTTTACAATCTTTCATCATCCCAATGGGGATTGATTCTTTCCAAATTTCGTACGACTCGGTTGTGTTCTCTCATAAACAAAGTATGACTTGCTATCAAGAGGGAATTTTCGTTAGTTCTTTCATCTCCTAAAATAAACACATTGGTAATATAATAATAAAAACTTGTATTTTGGATTATAGATTAAAAATTGTTTAATATGCACAATCAATAAAGGGGTTCTAAAATGAAAGATGGTAATTACCTCTACATACCTGCTGCGAAACATCTAAATCTGCCCGTTTTATTGGCGCATTGTTCAGAGGCGGGATTATTACCCACAGGTAGTAAGTTTTGCCCAGAAGGATTTGATGGATTGAATTGAGTTTTCAATAATCCTATAAAATATTTGTTAATATATACACCATTTAATTTTTTACGATATAAATTTTTTTATATATATTAATAAGAAAGGTGATAATATCATTGGCCCATCATGGAAAAGCCCGCGAAAACTCAGCGTTAATTTTTTTATACGAATTTTGTGGCCCTCACATTATTAATATCTGTATTTAATTTTTTTCCCAATATCAATTAAGGCTTTTATATGTTATATTATATTCTCTTATATGGCTCTGATATTTTATATATAAATTGTCCGGTTCGGCTAATATAAATTTTATCTACAGAATTCCCTTTGGGAGGTGGTTTTTAAACGGGTTCAGGCTTTGCATTTTCTAGTAGAAATACAAAGGAATAGTAAGAAAACTCAAGAAATTATTGGAGTAAAGATACGGTAGGGTGTTATATCTACATTAAGGTAGGATATATGGCGAAAAATTGCAGGAATAATAGGTACAAAGGATACGATATTAGAGGATAGGGTGAAAGGAAGGTATAAAGAAGGATATGATTTGAATCTCACTAAAGAGAGTTTAATCAAAAATATATAAAAAATTTAAAAATTCACGGAATTGATGATGTAAATTTATATGAAATATACCCGAGAGTAACTGTTAATTTGGATGGAAAAATATCGTGTTATTAGATACTTCAGCTAGGGTTACAGTCATGAGTGTTACTGAAATTAAAATATTATTGCCTGAGAGAAAGGTCCACCCAATAAAACAAAAGGCTCATCAATTTAATGGATCAGAAATACCAATGAGAGAAATTTGGGTATATCTGGGAAATGGGATAAGCATCAAAGATTAAAAATGTGAATGACAGAGGAAGACTCAGAAAACATAATGTGTTATGATCGGGTTAGGATGCTATATATCGGAGTGAAATATAAATAGATAAAAAGAGAAGGAAGAGAGATTGCCATTGAAAGGTTAAAGTATTAGTATAAAGTTTTTACTAATTTATTGACTTTTAATTAGTGTTAATAACGGTCATGATGTATAGTTTATTTCGTATAAATAATATATTGCACCATATTCAAATTCCCGTAAACCATTAGCGACTAAGTTGATAGAACCATAAATTTGAGAACCATCAATATAAGAAGTTGCTTCGTTATTTTGTTGTCTGAAACCTTGCAGTAAAAAAAATAATTAAATGGTAGTTTATATAAAGATCAAAGTAAAATATTTTAAAATATGTCATTTTATTCTAAGTCTCGATTTAAATAGTAAAAAACATTTAGTATAATAATACCTAATCGACATTCTCTAGAAATCACCGGTAACGACCTGACAACTTCCATACAATTTTGATTAAGTCTACCGAAAAAATGATCATCTGGTGGCAAATGAACTGGTAGACATTGAGGATGGGTAATGTTCGTGTTGCAGCACTTTAATTTACCTAGTTTAAACCCTGATAATCAATTATAGAAAAAAATGATTTAGAATATAAATAAATAAAGGCCCTATCTACTACTCTTATTTTGTCGGGACTAGAACTTATAGGGATCAATACCTTAGAATAAAAAAAACTCCCTAGTGGAATAACGTTCACTCCAGGCTACCTCAAGTTTGGAAGTATATCGCAAAATTAAATCAACACTTCACTTTAATCATAGTCGCCGAAACTTCAAAACGGCTAAAATATTCCTTCCTAGAAAATATAATATTTTTCCCTTTTTGTCACGTCCACAATAGGCAACTTTGACATTGAAACATCACTTTTTCTTAGGAAAAAAAACTCTCTTATATGTCCGGCGACCCCAAATAAAATGTTTATTAAAGGCAGATTCACAAGCTTTGCGTTCTCAAAATGGAACTTATTTAATTGGGTTTCTAGTTTAATGAGAAATTACTTAGTCCAGAAAGAAACGGAATAAAATGATTCAAAAAAGATTGATGACTCTAAGTATAAAATTGAATATTTTTAATTGCCTATGTTTTTAACCTGTTGGACTCGAGGTTAGAGCGAATTCATGGTCCATAAATTGACCATAAACCATCACCATATTCGTAAACGTTGGATCTTCCACAGTTCGGGTAGGCAATATAGCGGTGCTAATAATTCTTGGATTTGGCAAATCAGAACCATCGAAAGACAAGCGAAGGGAATTTAAGCCTAGTTAATTATTTATATATATATATTTTTTTAAAATATAAATACCATCTCCATAATCAGGAGGAATGAAACGTATTGGTGGACTAATGGCGGAGCCCCAAATGGGATTTTTAAGATTATTACAAAATCCATCTATTTCTCTGTACATAAGGTTACATATTCGCCTTTTAAATATTTCGAATGTATACGGGCAACCCCTGCCGATAGTGGTGCTATTAAGTGGAAAACTGTTTAGGTAGCCTGCGAGTTGATATTTGTTAAATTGCCCACTAAATTATGTATTTTAAAAATATAATTATAATATATATATATATTTTTTCGGGAACACTTAATTTACAAAGGATTTTTCTGATTAGTCAAAATTCTAAGATCACCTACTAATGTATTTGAAGCAGGGTATTGAACCTACCTAACTATCATAATAAAATCTAAAAAGGAGAGAACCAAATCATTATAAATACCTTGGAACGGTTTAAACCTGTTTATCACGGGTTTTTAAATTTATTTATTTATCTTAAAATGATTAACATAATTTAAAAAATTTTAATATAAATTTATATGTAATTTTAGTTGTTATATATGTCATAGAATCAATGTGTTTTTTCGCGTAACGTGTTATTTTTATCAACTTTATCATTTTTTTGAGCGGTTTTTTAAATTCAAAAAATCGGATTTGAATTGAATTCCAGGAATAGGGCCGGTATTCCAAACATTACGGAAAGTCCCGGTTAAAATCAAATTTTTAAAATTTTAAAATCAAAGCTCTCCAAAAAGATTTAAGGTTGAAAAAATAACCCATTGCCAGAAAAACATATTGCCGCTAACATATGTAATAGTTTATAAACAGCTCGATTTGGGACGATTTTCATAAACGGCTAACTCAATATTTTATTCAGAAAAATATTACGCAGGCTTAAAGACTTTGTTCATAGATGGCACAAAGATTTGGACATCTGTTAGAAAAATCTCCAGGCGTAGGTAATATTTTTCTGGCTAAAATAATGAGTTAGCCGTTTTTAAAAATCGGTTCAAAAGGAGCCGTTTAACAACACTAAGTTTATTCCTTGAAAATAAAAAAAAAATTTAACTTTATTTTCTTTAATTTTTGTTTTGGTTATTATTATTAAAAGTTTTAAAAATCTTTTATTTAATAATTTTTAAATAATATTGTATTGGAGCTATTGTTTTTAAACCAATATATCATTAAGGAACGATATATTAGTTATCGGTAATAACATTGAGTGAAATTATTTTTAAAAATCATTGTACAATGCTTGATTTTATATTGGATCGCATTTGGTATTGAAAACCAAAAAAAATATCGGCATCGTTGCCAGCCATACCCGGCAGTAGGTTAATATTATTTTAATATTTAATTTTGCGATCTTAATGATTAATTATATCAATTAATATACGAGGGAGTTCATCGCTATGACAAACTGATTCCCTAATCGGAACCTATCATTTAGTCAACAGTAACCGAACCCTCATATTGATCCGCTGAAAGAAGTGAACCGACCTATATAATTTTCCCCAGTTAGTTAAAAACTGCCTCTAATTATTGTAATTTAGATCATTCTTCCAAATAATTTATGACCATTTTTTTTTTGTTAATTGATATTTTTAATTCTGCGGTGCCCCATCTCTTCCAATTAAATCTTTAAATTATTCTACCAAAAACTTTATTATTCCGGTATTATGTGCACCCATTGGACAAGGAATATGTTACTAAGTTAAATATAATTATGGAATAGATATGCTCAAATTAAAGGTCTGCAGCAGTAAGATTTTTAGCCAACTCGCCGACACCCACCCATACTATGAGCGGGCTTGGGAGAATGGGCTAATAAATCTTAAAAATTGTGCAGTTAAGCGAGCGGTAAAAATTGTTCTAAAACTAGAGGCGAGTAGGCTGGCATAAAAATTATAGGAATTCGAGCCGGTTAAAATTTTTACAAATAATCTGTAAGCGGCTGTTCGCGTTAAAAACCCCCATTCTAATTGCATACCTCTAACTCAAATAAACTTTTTAAAGGTATATGATGAAATAAATATCCTATCTAAAATTTTTTATGCATTAAATGTAATTGAAATTAAATTATTGATTATTGTTCAAAATAATATGGTAAAAAATATATATTATCTAAAAATAATGAAATATTCATATATTTTTATCCAATAACATTGGAAGATATATTCAATTTTAACCAATTAGAAAAATCATTGAATAGAATCGATTTTTCATATGATACAAAGATTATAGTATCTATATAACTTAAGTAGGGATCCAAGAGTATCTGTTGCAATCGAACTGATGTACCCTAAACGTATCTTCCTAAAGGTGTATGGCGAACTGTTTAAAATGACGCTATCTTTCTCATCTAAAATTTTGAAACAAAAATAAATTTTTATCTTTTTCTTTTTTGTATCTATTGAATAATTTTTATTTTTTATGATTTTTCCCTCATTATCTATAATTTTAACTATACTCAACTATTTGTCTTCCATTCATCGAAATATACCCAAATTTCAATTATGAAAAAAAACCTATTTTCAAGATATCCTTCAACACCGTTTTTTCCATCTCGTTGACCTGGTTTTCGGCGTCTTGGATTGCTTTATAAACTTCGTAAGGTGTTAATACATTCTGAGATCGTTGTTCAAATGGATAAAAACGGAATTTTGGAGAAACGATTGCGATATATTGGCAAGTCCATATCGATAACCAATAAATCAATACAAATTTCATTTTCCTAACATTATTCAATATATTTATTAGCGAAAGATATATGACATGTATATCAGAATTTAGTCGAACTGGGGGGAGGAAAAATATTTTTTTCCAAAAATTCGAATAACATATGATTCCAAAATTTAATTAACTAAAATTGGCCTTTTTGTAAGTTATCTTGTATACATTTGATAACCTAAATTCCTAAATAATGAAATTCGTTGACTAATTTTGTCGAGCTATAATAAAATATTATATAAAAAAATTCCTATATGGGAAATGCCGTCATCAGCTGAGGATTTGTATTAAATGATGCTCCAAAAATGCATTTCAATGAATGATACATCAGTCAAGGTAATTACCATAAATGCAAATCTGCTATATTCCATATACTGGAATTTTTACAAATTACTTAGCCAATGATTGATATTACTCCTATTCCCATCATCAAAATTAGCAAAATATGAAAATCCAAATAAAAATTTCCCAATTTTAATGACGTTCTTGGAGCATCCGGCCCCCTACCACTCACACCCACGAAGAAGTCGCTGTTCATTTATTTTAAAATATACAGACTTGAAGCTGTTTCTTTCTTTAAAAAAAAAATTAAAACTTTTCTTATGAATTTTAAGAGAATTTTCGCCATAAACCTTTTTTTTATATTTTATAATTTATATATAAAAATCAATATAAATTTAAATTTCTATTTTTAAAATTTGAAAATGGTGACCGCCAGAAATGTATATGTATGAGTCATTTTACACTGATGCACGTATTGCCAGATTTTCCAATATGTTATATGCTGACAAATCATTATTTTTTATCGTGATAATATTAGCGAGTTTTATTTGGTAGGGGTTCGGTAAATTTATTGAAATCAATGCATCTGATTTTAACCCAAACGCATTTTAGCTACCCTTAGATTCAGACAATTCTACCTTATACTTCTGACTGAACTATTCTTAATTTATATATTTTTTTTCATGTAAATCAAAAAAAAATTCATGATTGGAGCTCAGTCTAAAATTAACAGAGTAAATAATCAATATATGCTAGAACAAGATTCCGTCAAAATTAAAATGGTCTGTTAAAAATAATTTAAGTATTAATAAAGTTGCTTAAAGGATCAAAGAGGTATAATCCTAAATTTAAAAAAAAAATCCCTATTAAATATATTTATATCGTTTTCACTTTAAATAACTCTGGTTTTTCCAACCAAACGTATAGTAAATTGATTAAAATGTTATTTAAAAAAAATATATATTGTAATAAAAATTTTACCTTATAATTTCAAAAAATCACGTTTTTTTCCACCCAACTGCTTGTTGTTTAGAAATATTTTAGAGAATAATATTTGGTTCTTTTTTTTTATTACAAAAAAATTTCATTTGTCGTTTAACACAAATAATTTGATCAATTAATATATAGGTTAGAGTTAATCTTTTAATTATTTAAAGTTAATTATGGATTTTTTTTTGTTGCGTTAAGGAAGAAGAAAACTCATAATAACTAAAATATAAATTATATTCTATAAAATTTTATAACCTATATTAGAAGTAATCGCTTTTCAAAAGGATTAGTACGAAGTGAAAGTTTATTTTAAATACACTTCTTACAAGAAAAAAATATATTTAAATTAGCATAAATTTTTTTAAATTATACACTGTTGATGCTTCGTTATATAATGTAACCATAAACATCATGATCACATATTATATAATTTTAATAACTTGGAATCATAAGCCGAACATATTAAGAATAACAGAAAAATCGATTTGGGATAGATGGAAATATTATTCTCCTTTTCACATTATATTTTTAAAATTTTTATTGAAGAAGACTAGAGGTGATAAGATACCGGGGTTGGTGAGATACTAGCATTTAATTTCTAAAATAGTAATAAAAAAATTTTAAGTATACATATAGAAAGAGATTTTTATAATTGCCATATAATGATTTATAATCCCTTTTTTTAAAATGTACATTTTCTTTTTTAATTTAGATTAAAATATGGATACTTACTTTAAATCATATACTAGCTTCCTTTCTGCTATATATCATATACCCAGCAGCACAGAAATATTTAGGTAACCTTGACACAAAAAATGATTTCACAGGATCTAACCCTAGTTCTCATAATGATTCAACATGTCTGAACTTTACCTGCCACTCGAAAAACACCCAATTTATTTGTAATAGATTATAATCATATGTGAGAGTGACGATCCAAACAAATCTCTATTCTACATTCTATTGAATATTCATATTTATAAAAAATATATTAAATCGATAAAATTATTCTAAGTAGATACACTCCATTTTTTAGAATGATTGAGAATAAAAAAGAAATAAAAAAGGATAATATTTAATAAAACTGAAATAAAAAAAAAGAATAGAAGTGATTATTATTCAATAAAACTAAGTTAAAAAATGAATTAAAGTGATTTATATTCATAAATGAGGTAATTATTTCAAAATATTTTAAAAAAAATAACAAATAAATATTTTTTTAAAAAGTCCTAAATTTAAAAATTATTCATTCATATATATATATCAGAGACCTGCAGTGATACCATTTTTATGGCCCGGCCCCAATTTTTTTGAAATATATTATTTATTTTTGATTTTTATAGCTAATAATCGATTTCAAAAATTTGGTTTTAAAATATACGGCCCGGCCCGAATATTTTTTTAAAATTATTTTTAGACCCGGCCCGAGTATATTTAAAAAATCAAAATAAGGCCCAGCCGTGTACTCGGGCCGGGCTTAGGGCAGGGCCTGTAGGTTTCTTATATATACATCCAGCTTTGCTACGCTTGCCTCTCCGAAAATGATATATTTCTCGCTGAATTTTTTTTATGCACTAGGTAATTCGCCAACCCTAGTGTCCCTCTAAAGCCCTGCAAATTTAGCCTTTTCATCCATATCCAGACCCTGCCCCTATTACAGGGAGTCTGGTTCTCCCCGAAACTTTTAATTAAAAGATATAATTAGAGCGCATTTATATATAAAATATAGAATAAAATACAAATTCTTAAATTATTCTAATTTCAAGAGAAATTCGAATATATACATTTATTTTTTTAGAAATTTTAAACATTTTTTCAAGCCCCAGCTTGACTAGCCTCGAAATTTTAAATTTTAGCCCTAAGCCCGCCTCATTTTTTAATGTTAGACCCTGGTCCCGAGGTTTGGCTTTTAGTAGAGTTAGTTGACTTACAAGGTTCTACCCCATATAGAATCCTAAATAATTTTCCATATATTAGACTTTGATTTTCCTGAATACATTAATCAAAACCTATTTATTGATAAACATAAGTGTGCAAACTATGGATTCAAATAAAAATATAAAACCTTTGAAACACGAGCTCAACGTATTATATAACACATTTTATGAGTGGCTATTTAAATCACTTATATTTACTCCTTAGACGGTTTTTCTTATCCTTTTTTTTGATAATACGATATATATTTGCACCTTCTGAGGGGGAGGCTTAATTATTCAAACAAATTATCCATTATATATGAAATTCAAGGTACAAATAACAAGGTTCATTTATGAATTAGATTAAAATAATAATAATAATAATACTGATCCCTTGGAACTCTAAGAAATCAATAAATGCAATAAATATAGGTCTCTTCTTAATTCTATTATTTTTATTCCTCTAATTTTTAGCGTTTTGGGAAACCCCGGTCCCCAATCCCTAAAATTTTAAAATCAATTGGGTAGAAAAATTTCAATAAGGACATGGGTTAAAAACGAGTCCCTATCCCTCATACAAAAAATTCAATTCGAAATCTTAAAAGGGAACTACAAGTGTTTCTTCGAAACACTCCCTTTTCCCTCCTTGTTATTCCTTATTTTTTTTAAAAATATTATTGTTATATATATATTTCTTGTTTTAGGAAGATTATAGTGCAATTTTACTTATGTAGGTAGCTGGAGTATAACAATGACAATTGATTTATATATTATTTTATTATTTATATGTCTATGTATATTATAATAATGAGCGATTTGTGGCATAATATCTTCTTTTTTAAAAAATATATTTATAAATATCTTTTCTGATTCACGATGTAACGTTTCATCCAGCCTGCGTATCTTCCTTCCAAAACGAAAAGTCAATGTTGGGTATGTGTTCGCAATTTAAAATCGGGTTACTGAATTATAAAATGAATTAGGAACACGAATAAACTACAGAGATATTATCATAAAACTAAAACAGGAAAAAAATAATTCAAATAATAATCGATAGTTAACATTAAATCCAAACCCTCGGCATAACCCATCATATTATTGTTTAATATATTAAGTTTTAGGCCCATTTAAAAACGAATTCGTTTCTTTCTTTCTTTCTTTCTTTCTTTCTTTCTTTCTTTCTTTCTTTCTTTCTTTCTTTCTTTCTTTCTTTCTTTCTTTCTTTCTTTCTTTCTTTCTTTCTTTCTTTCTTTCTTTCTTTCTTTCTTTCTTTCTTTCTTTCTTTCTTTCTTTCTTTCTTTCTTTCTTTCTTTCTTTCTTTCTTTCTTTCGCAATTGTATAAATAATAAAATTAACTCCTCTTATTCGAGCCATTAAGAATTAGAAAATACGAATAATTCATTATTCCACTCGTATTTGGTTTATAAGTTAAATTAAAAAAAAACCTTCAAACATAAAAGAAAAATCTCATTCAAAAAAAATCATTACGTATAAATGCTTAAAAAAAATTTTTTTAAATTTATTTGTAGGGATGTACCGATACCACTTTTTGGAGGCCGATCCGATATTCCAGATATTAAATTGATATCGGCCGATTACCGATCCGATATCATATCTAATTTTGTATTCTGTAAAAGTACCAATGGTTTTTAATACTTTTTATTAGTATAACATCTATAATTTAACTATACCATAACTTATGTCATTTAAATATATTATAATGATCAGTTATAGTTAATATTCAATTCAATCGCTATTCTAAAAGTATATAAAATATTTTTATTGTTAAATCATTTTATTATATAATAAGTATTAACATTAATCCATAATAAGTAATAAACAAATATATTATAAAATTTGAAATAAATATTTAAAATAATATTTAACATTAATATATCTAAGATTTCTTTTTAGAAATACCAAATTACCAATTTATCAGAGGTCAGCCTGCGGCGATGGTAACTCTCAATATCACCAGCTTCACTGAAACCAGTTTCTGAAGAGATTATCGCACACTTTTATAAACAGAATGAGCAAAAAAAATAACAGTATGGCAGAATGTTTATTAATTAATTATTATTATAAAAAAAAATATACATAAAAATAGATTACGATTGATTTTAGATATAATTTTTTTTTTTAATTTTATAACATTTAATTTTTGTTAAAGACGCCATTTTATATCGGATCGGAAAATTTTATAATATTGGCCAATAACCGATATTTTAAAATGGGTGAAATATCGGCCCGATCCGATAAAAATATCGGTACATCCCTATTTTTGTATAATATATAAATTTAGATAATTGAATCCATATTGCCATCGGATTCTCTTAATATTTAAATCGTTTCCCGAGAACAATTTTTACATTTTGATTTTTCTGATTTGAACGAGAAATGTATATTCTAATGTCTGAACTATTGTCAGCGTTTATTTTTGGCCAATTTTGCCGTAATTATTTTGTTTTGAGCTGCTATGTATTTTTATACAAATTTTTTAAAAAAAATACCCCAAAAAATTAATGGCTAGAATTATCAGAAATCCTCGTGGATCATAAAAAAAAATATTTACTCCAGACTTGACTTTCTAAATATATCCCTTTGTATTTCTAGTATGGTATCGGTGTTCTCGCATACGATTTTGCTTAGCGTCATTTTCCTTATTTCTTGCAATTGTTCTATTTAAAATAAACATGATTATTTATTTTAATTATTTATTAGTTTTTTTTAGGCCTGAACGAAAATAATTTCTCGTAAATTTCAATATTGTTTTAAATTCCTTAAATAAATTTAGTTTCTTCTCGAACATTCCTGTTCATTGAGGATTGATTTTTATGAGTCTAGATTTTTTTAAAAATTAATTATTTATCAAATAACTGTTATTAATACTAATTTAATTTCTAACGAATAATATAATTAGTAAAATATAAATGATCAAATATTATCATTTATACAATTTTACCCGGACGAAAAGGATAGTCAATAACTCCTGGTCTAAGATGATTTTCGTACCAAAATCGATCCCCAAACCGGAAATTATGGAATTGTAATCCTATGATGCACGAAAAGGTCGGCCCTAATATTCCAGCTCCATTTGGAAGTTCTGAAACCCCAGCAGGAAATAAGTCGATATCATCTGGATGACTGAATTGAAGGGAGGGGGGGTTATTATAAGTAAAATGAAAACAAATCAATTTGCCTTAACATAACATATATACTCGAAAATAATTTTTTAATTATAATTAAAACTAATAATTTAGACAAGTTTTTTTCAAATTTTAAGATAAGAGTTTATACCGTGTCCTGACTTGTTTTATTTCTAAACAAGTAGACTATTTAGCTATCTACGTAGCCTCTTCTAACCATCTTAATAAGGCAAATGATATTTAGAATTTAAGCAGGTAAAGTGCCCTTGTGACTCTCACCAAACCAAAATATTGACTTAAATGCACACACTTAAAACAAACCAAAATAGGGTGCACTAGTTCAAAAAGCTTGGGCTATACGAAATAGGTCTCAAAACTAAGAGGAACCTGGACACAGGCTTAATGCTTTTTTATGGAACATTAGACAAACTTGTAAATGTTAGAAAAGCGTTCGGCGGCTCCGGTATACATTTCAGCTTCCATTGAATAAAAGTCAGCAAATCTCTTATATCCGCAAAACTCTCTCCATTCATTATATCCAGGAACGCCTTGTTCCCTGCCTCTCATCAAATTGAGAACCATCAAATCCATTCCTTATTATTTTTTTAAAGTTTTTTATTATGTCTAATTCTTTTATTATTAAATTGCATTAAAATTAAGTAGAAGTCGTTTAAAGGAGTTTGTTTACTTAATCCAGCAGTGACTAGTTAAGAAGCGCTCTAGTCTTGTTAACTAAATCATAATGGTTAGTCAAATGTTTTATTTAGTTAGAAATTAAGGGTCATCTGTTATTGTTAAAATCTTGATGATGTTTTGATAATGAAAATTTTGTTTAAGAGTATGGGTTTGTGTTCTTAACATATTTACATTGGCCTAGACATGGAAACCTTGCCTCATCCAAAAAATCCAAAATTTAAAAAATTATTGTATACTATTTCTATAAAAACCTAACAGAAATATGGGTCATAATATTAACTTACATTTTCTTTTTATTTTTGAAAAAATTAAATATATACCAAAGGGCTTATCATCAAATTCGAATAAATGATTTTTAACGTCTTCGGCTATATTGTTATCCATCAATTGAATATGTTGATGAAACATTCCCCGCACGATAGAATCCATCCCTTTGGGAAATACATCAGTGTATATATTTTCAGTTCTGAAAAAGTCTGTTCTCAAGTGCAGAGGGGACTGGTACTTGCGATTACGGCTAACGCGAAATATATCCTTGCTTGTGTATACATGAATTCATAGAATAGATATTAAAATTATTATAAAAAAAGGGAATCTGCAATATTTGTGTAATTCGAGTTTTATCTTATTTATAAATTGTATTAACTACCACCATAGCATCCCAGTTTGTAAGCTTTTGAGAAATAAGGCATTTGATAAAATTTATTATCATATTCATCGATTACTTTAAAACATCGAAATTATTTGAAATCAATTAAAACTAGCGAGCAGACGATAAAAGATTTTAAGCAACCGTTCGAAATAACGGTAAGACACTGCTAGGGGAAATTTTTAATATTTATTTTTTTTGGTGTATTAGGGATCGATTCTAAGGCGAAGGAATAAAATTTCCTGTCATTTATATATATGTGAATGTTTAAGAAAGTAAAAGAAAGAAAGAAATGTCATTTTAAGTAAAATGATATAAATTTATATAGAACTATTAAAGTTTTTCCTTAAAATTATATCTATCGATAATATCGTTGTTTATAATTGCTTAATTATCTAGTATTTGATTCAATAGTCCCTAACTTAATAGCATCCAATATATCACACGCCTTTTTTTAAATGTTAAAAAAATATATTTTAGACTATATCCTAAATATAAAAAAAAAAAAATCTCGAAAATTACGCGAATTCAACGAAAAATAAGCCATTTTTAATCTAAAATTAAAGAATTGAGAAAATTTTTACTAAATTTATACAATTTTTAAAACTTTTGAGTAATGAAATTTTGAATTATTATTACATCAAAAAATTTCCACCAATAGCTACCCAATCGCATATTTATTATTTTAAAATTAAAAAAAAAAAAAAATTAAAAAAAAGAAATAATATTAAAAATTTCCCCTAGTTTCAGTGACTTACCGAAATATCTAAATTTTTAGAATGGACTTAAACCTCTTGTCTAGCTATATTTTTTAAACACAACATGCTTGAGCGCTCAATTGCGAAAATCTCTGGTATAATCTTAGCCTTATTAGTAGAATCAATAAGTAATTACTTTTACACGTATTGAATATAATAAAAAATTTGCTATATCATGATTTCTAAATACTAAGCAGGGAGTTGGAACGTTTACAATAGTATTTTTGTGTTATTCTCCCGATTAGTTCCTTTAAAATTAAAACTTTCTTGTTGGCTTTTGGTACACCTTTCGATTAAGTTTTTTTTTTACGATGGAAAAATTTCCAAATTTTCATATTCAAAACTTTACGAGAAGCCCTGATGTTTAATAAGAACTCAGAAAATTCTAGAATATCTTCTGAAAGTTCCTAATTCTGGATAATTTTAAAAAATAATGTTGTTCCATTCTCTTTTATTTCTACTTGTTATATTGCAAGTCCTTGCTAAATACAAGAATAGATGTTAAATGACGGGTAAATTTATATCATAGAGTTTTCAATATTTTTGTAAGCAAAAATTTATAAGATTTATCATATTATTCATAAACTTATCCAAGATTTTATTCTCTTTTTTTTGGCGGGAGAGGGGGTGGTGTCCCCCATAAATTTAAATATTGTTTATAATGTTTTATATTTATTGATAGGAGGTTAGAGAAGTGTTGAAGTAATTAATAATAACTAAAATTATATTTAAAAACTTGCAAATTTGTTAAGGGAAAATCCCCCCTTCCCCCACTTCCCCAGGTTATTCCAAGCACTTCTCCATTGCTTTAATCTAATGACCATATTAGGCCTCCACCCTCTAACATTCAAATTAAGGAAATCTAAATCTAATGGGAGGAATGTATTCACAAACCCCTATTACCTTCATTTTTAATGAAAACCTTGGTTCCTTACCTCCCCCTCGCACCGTGATAAAGGTACCCAAGTTACTCCAATGATATTATCAAACTCAACATTACTTAAGAATACTGTGTCCATATCTAAAGGCTGCGATTATTAATCCATGATCAACAGTAGCATCAATATGCTCGTCATAGCCACCGAAATAACCCGTGTCCGCTAATTCCAACTTGAAACGTCGTATAAAATGTTCGCCGATTATAATCGGTAATAACGATTTGAAACTGATGTGTTGAATTAAAGCTGCCACTATTCGACGACCTTCTTGATACCTATATAATGATTCGATATTAAATGTTGATAAGTTACGATAAGATTAAACATAATTTTTTTTTTCTCAACATTATCCTTAAGAATTATACTGATATTAAAATATAATTGACAAATTCTTAGAAATTAAACTGAGATATAGCTAACAATTTTGATGAATATCGAAACTTACAACCATATAAATTTAATATTATGTTAATTTTAATCCAATAATTATTTAAACTATATTTTAGTACAATTTTTCATCATCCCAGTGGGGATTGAAATGCGCTAAACTATTAACGATTAGGTTATGTTCCCTCATAAATAATGTATGAATAGATACCAATAGTGAGTTCTCGCTTGCTCTTTCATCACCTAAATTTGTTTTTTTTATTAAATAAATGATATTATATATTGGATATTTATTATTTTTTAAATACCTTGCCCTTTAAAATTTAGGAATGGCTAAACCTCAACTCTAACAAGGTATTCCTTCCCTCATTACATTAGCGATATAGTATAGTTGGATCCATTTAATAACAAATCGGTTCAAATATTTTGCTTAAAAAGTTATTGGATAAAAATGTGAAGCTAAATTTCTTTTATATTCATATAATGTTGAATAATATCGATTATTATTTTTGATCTGTTGTAAATCAAGTTTATATATATCATTCAAGCAACATTTCAATAAAGATAAAGTAATTATGATATTAACATCTTGCTGGAATATGATAGAAAAATTCTTTTATACTAGAAGGCAATAATGATAATGAATTTCATAATAGCTTAACATTATATGATGGACTTTTTGGTATAAAATTATTGGTAATCTACTCAAATAATAAAATTTACGGGAATTTGAATAATGTGGCAATGTGATTTTTAAAGATTAAACTAAATTATTAAAGATCAGGCACAAAAATCAGGCTTTTTACAGACGAAGCTAAAGAATTTTTATATATGCGTAAAATTTAAATAGAAAATATAAGTATGGCTACTTTTTGGGAACAAAATTATGACGGAAATTAATAAAGAAATTTATTACTAAATTATTAATAGAGTTAAAATGATTTTTATTGTTATTATTTTTCTCCAAAATGAATGCTTAATAGCTAAATGATAAAAATCAAAAGCCAAATTATTTATAAATATAAACAGAAAAAAAAAAGCAAAAATTATATATATTATGTTAGCGACAATGTGTTTATTTTTTCAACTTTAAATCATTTTTTGACCGCGTTTTTTTTAAAAATTTTATTCGATTTTCCGTATATTTTTTATATAAATTATAAATCACTCAAAGGTTTGTTGTAATATGTAAATTTACTTTGAAATAAAATCGAGAAAAAAGAAGTAATATTAAAATCGACTGTTAACAGAAAAACGAAACGAATTATTATATTATTTGAGTAAAGACGATGTAAATGAATAGGATAGAAAAGTATATATAATCGAGGATATTTTACTTGATAATGAATATTTTGCGAACTTAATATTTTTAATTTTTTTATTTTAGTTATGATTATGTAATTACAATTTATATTAATTAATAAAGTATTAGTAATTAATTTATTTATACAATTTATTTGTATTCTCTTTAATTCTCAACTACAACATTTGTTACCGAAACATTATGTTCTATGGGCATATTCAGTCTAAATGACACTTCATAAAATGACAATGATGTTGGAGAGTAGAGAGTCTAATTAACTCTGAAAAGAAATTCTAAATAAAGGGGGGAGGGGATAGTGTTGTTAAATGGCTCGTTTTGAGCCGATGAGCCGTTTAACAACACTAGAAGGGTTATGAAATAACCATCGAAGACAAAGAATGAGAGCAATAAATCAATGGTATTAATATTAATGGTCGTAATTCGGAAAAGAATAGAATTAGTCGTTGTCGTGATTATGTAGATAGTTAGACAATATTATTTTATTTATGCAAATATTTCTTGTTATGAGTTCGTTTAATTATATCATAATATTTGTCGATATATTCAAATTTTATTTTGGGTAATTTTCATGTTTAACGGTAGATTATATTTATGATAAACAGAAAAAAGCAAATTGAAAATAGATTTGAATATTTAGTTTTTTTAGTTTATAAATTGTTTAAATATATTTTTGAATAGCGATAACTGTAAATAATTTAATTTATGAGTATAAAAACTTTAATTTTTTACCATTAACGAATCATTAAATTTTTTATTATAATTTTTTCTAAATTTTATATTTTATTCATTATCGAAATAAAATCGTCAAGTTCATTAATTCGTTCTTTTTATATTATATATATATTTATCCTAATTTATTTAAATATATTTTATTCTTTCTTTTATTAGATTCCACTATAATAAGAATTCTAAGTGAGAGATCTAATTAACATCGATAATAAATTAATCAACTTTCTATACGCAACTTCAACTCAAGCTTGCACTCACTTGCAACAGGCGTTTAGCTAAAAAGAATCGTCACAAGAGTTCGTTATAGGTACAAGTGATCGTTTTATATAATATTAGGTTGTGGATTTACCAAAATCTTCATAAAGAGAAACGGCTTTTCGTCAGTAGAAAATTTATGCCATCGAGCTCATGTAGAGATCGAATTTTTATTTGAGATCAAAAGATAAAAGAAATCTTTATCGTACAAGAGATCTTAAGGCGAAGTTGATATATTGACAAGCGACTAGGTAAAACAAGTGGTCAATACCAGGATGCAATCGTTAATCGTTGACAAATTATCGCCAATTGCTTATTAAAACTTTAGTATAAGATACAAAATCGATGATCTAAGAAATAAGAATTCGTGAAAAATGGCAGATCAAGCATCGCACATCGTTGATCAAGATAAAGCAATAATCATTAGTTACAAGAGAACGTTAGAAACAAGCAAAAAATTAATTTATCAGGAGAATTTAAGACGTAGTATCGATAATCGTTGACTAGCAATCGTGTATCGTTTAAAAGCATGCGTCAAGTTGTCAGTGCTAAGAGCTCATCAATAACAGACTAAGACAAGAAACAGAATCTATCGGTGATGTAAGTGAGCAAAGGAAATAAAACAGTAATGATACATGCACGAATATTGGTAATTCGCAGAATGTGGGGCCTAATCTGAGTGTAAAGGTGTTGTAATATGTAAATTTACTTTGAAATAAAATCGAGAAAAAAGAAGTAATATTCAAATCGACTGTTAACAGAAAAACAAACGAATTATTATATTATTTGAGTAAAGACGATGTAAAAGAATAGGATAGAAAAGTATATATAATCGAGGATATTTTACTTGATAATGATGATTATTTTGCGAACTTAATAATTTGTAAACTTTTAATTTTAATTTATGTTAATTTTATTTTTCTTTTATTTTGATTATGTTTTCACTTTATATTTAAGTATTTAATAAAGATTTAGTATCATATTTTAGTTTTAACATTTCTTAATTTGACAAGGTTAAGAGCAGAATTGTTTACAGTTCATATATTCCACATGATAGAATATATTTCTGGTAAAATCGGATTTTTAAATTTATTAAAAACGAGCTCAAAAAAATTAAAATTGTAAAAAATAACTGCTGGAAACAACAAATTAACGCTAACATATACATGAATTAACCAAAAAAAATTTAAAATCATGGCATAAATTTTTTTTTGAAAATTCCCAACGCTTTATATTTAAACGGTTTTAAACTCTATGATAATTCTTATAAAGCTCACCATCTAAAGTATTTTAAGAACAATAGACCTGCAACAAAACATTTAAATTCTCTTGTTTTGTTTTCGCATTGTTCGGAGGCTGGATTCATTTCAACAGGAAGTAACTCTCTTCCATGAGGATTGAAGGGATTGGGTTGACTTTTTAAAAATCCTTATAATAATAATAATTTTAAAAAAAATCAAATTTTAAAGATAAAATTTTACATGAACAAATTTTTATATTTTTTTAAGAGAAAAAAAAATGAAATCAATTATGAGAAGAAACCTTTATGAAATGTTCTCAAGCTGTTAGCTTTTGAATGGATTGAACCATAGATTTGAGAGGCATCTATATAAGAAGTAGCTTCGTTATTTTGTTGTCTAATTCCTAAATTTATTATATTATATACATAATGAACATATCTTTTATTATGCCTAGCCGACAGTCTCTCGATATGGCGGGTAATGATCTCACTACTTCCATACAGGTTTGCTGAAATTTACTAAAAAAATAATCATTCTTTGGTAAATAAACGGGTAAACATTGGGGGTGTCCGAAATTTTTGTCGCAACACTTTAATCTACCTTGTTTAAAACCTAATTTATATAATATTAATGAATGATGTAACTTGTATTGAAATATGGAATTCATGAGATTCGAGTTCTCTCAATTTCGAATCATTTGCTGAGCGCGATTTTTAAATATGAAAATCTGATTTGACCGGGAATATATTTCAAATATAGGGCATCCACGCTGCGAATTCTTTCTTTCTTTCTTTTCTTTTTTTTTCTTTTCTTTTCTTTTCTTTTCTTTTCTTTTCTTTTCTTTTCTTTTCTTTTCTTTTCTTTTCTTTTCTTTTCTTTTCTTTTCTTTTCTTTTCTTTTCTTTTCTTTTCTTTTCTTTTCTTTTCTTTTCTTTTCTTTTCTTTTCTTTTCTTTTCTTTTCTTTTCTTTTCTTTTCTTTTCTTTTCTTTTCTTTTCTTTTCTTTTTTTCTTTTCTTTTCTTTTCTTTTCTTTTCTTTTCTTTTCTTTTCTTTTCTTTTCTTTTCTTTTCTTTTCTTTTCTTTTCTTTTCTTTTCTTTTCTTTTCTTTTCTATTCTATTCTTTTCTTTTCTTTTTTCTTTCTTTTTTTTTTCTTTTTTTTTTTCTATTTTCATAAAGATTTCAAAAAAGATACGCCATAGTTGATAGTTAAATTGTCTAAAATTTATAATCAAATCCGACTTTTTTAAAATTTAAAAATCTCTAATGATATAAAAGTGAGAGATGCCTAATCCCCATGGATTCCATAGCCTAATATGACAAATATATAATGTCTACATCAAAAAAGGATTGAATTAATTACCAGATGGACTTGAAGCTAAGGCAAATTCGTGATCCATCATTTGACTAAATACCATAACCATACTAGTAAAATATGGGTCCTCTACCGTTTTAGTTGGTAATATCTCGGTGCTTATCAATCTTGGGTTAGGCAATTCTGAACCATCATGCGATAGACGCAAAGTGTTTAAACCTATAATCAAAATTCTAATTTATGAAAATTAGCATTTTATTAAATATTTACCATCTCCATAATCCGGGGGAATAAATCTTATAGAAGGACTGAATGTAGTTCCCCATATCGGATTTTTAATATTGTTGCAGAAGCCATCTATTTCTCGGTATTGCGAATTACAAAATCTTCTACTAAACACAGATGGTGTAAACGGGCAATCCCAATCCAAAGTTGTGTTATAAACATTCAGGCTATTGAGGTATTCTGCTAATTGGTATTTGTTATAATGATCCCTGGATTTTTAGTAAAATGAATCAAAAAAATGAAATGCTATAAATAATTAATGATCGTTATATAATTTTTTTTTAAATAACCGACTTTAATAAATGTGCCAAAGCTTCGGACGCGAATACGCTTATAAATCCTAAGCGTATTTTTCTGAATACATGAGGAGAGCTGTTCAGTATCACGCTATCTATTTCATCTAAGTTTGTGAATAAAAAAAAATCAATCATTTAAATGATGAAAGATTAGATTTAAATTATGTCATTTTTTGGGGGATAAAATATTATTTTCATAAAGTTGATCATTTGAAAAGTACCATTTATAACTTTCCCTAGTAGAATTTTATACAAATGATACCTTGGAAATTTGAAATGATAAACATTACTAGGTAAATAGCTATAGCTATAGAGTAAGAAACTAATCCCCCCCCCAAAATTTGCTTGTTCTTGTAGATAACATTTTAAGCTAATACAAATTTCCCCTCTATACCCCCCCCCCCCACTACCATCCTCTTCTCCCGAAAATGACTATTATTCAATTTTTTAGGTACAAAACTATAGTTTTTAGATAAAATATAGCCAATGCCTACAATAAGTGGGGCCTAAGGATCTCCAATAAAATTTATGGGGTAATTCACCTAATAGTGCTTTCCCAACCATTGGCAAAATCATGGATACGCCTATGTCTAAGATGTATTTATTTTTATCTAATGTTTTATGATAATAATTTAAATTGGAATTGATATGTTTTTTCTTCAAGAAAAACTAATTAATCGTCAATTTTATTTAATTTATTTCCTGAAAAAAATAATTGATTTGGCTTTGGTATATCACTAAACATCTTTAAACCCATATGGAGGGTTGTTAAAGCCCGATTCGGGGATTTTTAAAAACGACCCGGTTAAGATTTTAGCCAAAATAATATTACGTAATCCTCGAGATTTAGCAAATAGAGGTCCAAAGGCCATCTAAGAGCAAAATATCAAGGCTTACATAAATTATTTTGGCTAAAATATCGGGTTTTTTAACAACCCTACCCATATGTTAAAATGGATGGAGCATGGTATAGTATACATTCAAATTGTATAATTTGACTCCTACCTACTTGGACACAAAATTTCAAACCCAAATAATGATGTCCATTTATTCCTAACAAGGTTACTAATAAATGAATGAGAGATATATGAATTAGAAATATTGTCCAAATGGGAAATATATACTGATTTTAAAAATGCAGACAATTATATAATATAATATAAATAAATATAGTATACATTTAAAAAGTTGAAAACATAACTATCACTCTGTATATATTTATAAATTTATTTTAGTAAAAATATACCTAATTTTAGAATTTGCAACAAGGCGCCATTATTTTCCAATTCCCAAACGCGCGCCTCAGCATTCGATATGGCTTCTAAAATTTGGTAATGTTCTAAATGAATGGGAGTGGGTTGCGAATTTTCCGGGAATTCATATTGAATAGATGCTCCAATATCCCTAAATTTTAATAACCAAAGCACAAAGATTAAAATTATCATATTAATATAATATATATTTTTTTAAAAAAATAAGTTGTAAAATCATAAAAAAATAATCTTTAAATTTCTTAGAAATGATTAAAAAGTCATATCTATAAAAAAAAATCACATTTCCTGATTATTAAAATTATATACACGGCATTCCTAATTAAATCGATAAAACATTAACCTAAATTAATAGACTATAGTTTACAAAACATAAAATTACTTTCTTCCTCAATTTTTTTACTAGGTAAGTAGTATATATGACAAAATTAATGTTGAATTCATGATTAAATTATATTATGTTAATGTATAAATATTTTCACATATAATATATGTATTAGAAGGATCAAGTTAGCTTATACTCAAATTAGATGTTTTAATTTCCAAGAATTTTTTTTTTTTGCGAAAACCATATAATATATAAATTGATAATAATTATAATATGTATTAGAAAGACAAAGTTAGCTTATACTCAACTTAGATGTATTTCCAAGAATTTTTTTTTTGCGAAAACCATATAATATATAAATTGATAATAATTATAAAATAGATTATACTCAAATCAGATGTTTTAATTTTTTAAAAATTTTTTTTTTTTTTTTGCGAAAACCATATAACATAGAAATTGATAATAATTCTTAGAATTAAAAACTTAGAAAAAAAAACGATGTAAAAGGAAAGTAAATTTAATTAAGATGTAAAAATATTTCATAATTCGTTATTTTTAAATATTTATTTTCTTAATACACCAGAACACTTATTTTCCGGATTCCAATTTTAAAGTTTGATTCGTAAATAATAAGAATTAAATTAGTTTTACGTTCAGGGGAATTACCTTTAAAATGATTACGGAATTTTCTTTAGCTATTAGGGATTTTTCAGAAAAATGTGCGTCACTCATATGATTATGGAAGTTTAATCCTTTTTGTAATACTAACAACCTCGTGAGTCATGATCATCTGGAAAGATGAGATTTATTTTTTTTTGTAATAAATGATATAAATATTCTCAGGAAAAGTGGCTAAATTCTAGAACGTTCGTAAATTTTTCCAATTGGAACCTCAAAGAGGTTAAGAGAGTTCTTAAATGCCTAAGAGATTCTGATATAACATTTTAAAAGATTATTTCTGATAAAAGATAACATATACGATATATGAGGAATTTTTTTTAATATCGCCTCCTATCATTCCTTAACCCATGCATCGCTTAGAAAAATTGCAAGACATACAATCGTTTACAAAGATCGGAGAGAATCATTTCTGACGTTGAAGTTATTGTAGCAGAGAATCAGGAGATGTGGGCTCTTTTCATACAAATTAAAAATCAGATTGCTTAATGAAAAAAATAATTTACGACCCTCATTCGCACAATAGGGGGCCAAATTTATGGGTATAAAAACTGCCTAATATTAAAAGTAATGTTAAACTCAAAATCTCATTTTTGAACAACATTTTGCGATAATATATTTCAATAAATTAGAATATAGTTGAATATATCCTTTTTATCAATATCTCTAGATTTTTTTAGTAAATTTATACAGTGATCTGTTAGATAGTTTCAATGCCACACTTCAGAGATGGACCAACTGGCATATATTTTTATTTTTGGCCAATTTTTAGTTTTCAATTTATAAATTCAATTTTTTTTTAAAAAAATGTTTGTTATTTGAGTATCACAAATTGTTAATGGGATAAAAGCAAATGAATCGATTAGAGGTGGGCGCGGGCCTAATTTATCATTCACGGCCCACCCGCTCACGGTTGGAATAAAAAAAATTCACGCCCATTCACGCTTACCAAAAAATTTTTGACCCAACCCTCCCGCTCACGAAAAGCAATATTTTGATTCATGCCCGTCACGCCCGAAAATTCACGGTGTTTTTAAATTTTTCAAAACTATTGCTATAATTTTACACTTTTTTGAATTTATTCTATTTATTTTTCTTATTTCATAATTCATATTAATAACAAAAAATAAATCTATAAATCGAAATTATTAAGAAAAAGAAGAGTGCCCATCTTTTTTTATTTCAATTGTGTACGTCTTTCCTCTAATAAGAGATTGGCTACAGAAAATAACCTTTCACTAGAAGCCGAACTTGCAGCTGACAAAATTTTACTCGCTAATTTTCTCAAAAAAGGAAATAAATATTCCTGCTTCCAAAACTTCAAAATATTGTCTTGTTATTTATCTTATATGAATCTTTTAAGTTTATCTTCACAGCTTTCATCGGTGATGTTGATGTTTAATCAGAATTATCTAGAAATTTTCTAAATTTTTATTTAGAATATACGGTCTTTTATGAGTGTAGGATGATTAGGAAAGTTATAAATGATATAAGGTTTTTTTATGAGTTTAGGATAATTTAGGAAAGTTATAAATGATAGTTGGCATCGACTTATGCATATCATCTAATTTTATATCATTTAGCATTTTTAAGATTGTTTTATATATATATATACATCCTTTTCTTCTTTTATTAAAAACTTAAGTCTTTTGAAATTAGGATCTAGAATTAAGCCTACCTTATGTAGTGGCTGCATAATAATCTTTTAAAAGAAATCTTATTCTGCATTTTAAGGTTTTGATTATTATTGTATCACCTTCATAAGGTTAACAAAATTTTACTAATTTTTGTTTCCATAGACAAACTTCATTTATTGTGGGACGAGAATTTGCTCTCAGATTATCCGAGCATTATTTAAATATTGATAAAAATTTATCTAACTATCATATGTGCTGATATTAATTGTGGCTAATATTTTTAATTCTTGTTTGCTAAACAAAACAAGTATACATGTATTTCAGAATATAATTTTAAGAACTCTATATCATGATATATACAGAATTCCATCTTGTTATTCTCGTTATTACATCTTGTTTAAGGGTGTGACTTAGTTTGCTATTAGCTGTAGATTGTTTGAAATATTGTACTATTTTTTTTACACCATTTATATTTAAGGCTATTTCAGTAAACAATTGTCAAAAATATAATGCATAATATTATTTAGTATATGGCATATACATGCTAGAGTTTCGTCCTTTGAATGCACTTATAAGATTTGCTCCGTTATCATTCACAACTATACATTTATTTAAGTAATTTTCTACTTCTGTATATTCTCCTAAAATTAAATTTACTACACTTTTAATATTGACGTTTTTTTTCACCCATTGTCCTGTGGCCAAAACAAATGTTTTTAATTTAAAATTGTAATGGTTAAAAACTTAATTTTTATAGTCATCCGTCCAAATATCGGTGATTATGGACAAGTAATTATTATTGATATGCTTTTAATCTTAAATTTTATTTCATTGTATATTTTTGGACCTATAGTATTTATAAGAGTTTTCCGGTTCACAGCTTTTATATTTTGTTATCCATAGTAACACCAACTATCTTTTGGCCTAGCTTGTAAAATCCTTCACTTTCTGATGCATTTAAAGATTGAAGATTTTTACAAATAAAATATAACTGACTTTTCTGTAAAAAATTTACGAAAAATTTAGCATAGAGTCTCTGATAAAATACACCTAAACATAAAAAGAAAATAGAACTAACGAAATTTTACCGGATGTTGTTTATAAAATGCGGAAGATTTTTAGTTTTCATAAATATTCTCTTTTAAAAAAGAACTAAATTAAATAAGAAAATATATAATATAATTATAAAATTGCAAATTTATATTTATAAAAAAACAATTATAAAAATTAAAATTTCCGTGATTCACGGGAAATTTATGTTCACGCCCGATCACGTCCGGGGAAAATTTTGGGAAGGCCCGTCACGCCCAATCACGCCTTGGAATTTAAAATTTATTCACACTCACGCTGTGACGTGACACGATGGGTCACGCGTAATTTCACGGCCCGCGCCGTGAAAAAATTGTAAAGACTATACATTCGGCAACATTTTGTGTCAATAATTATATTCAAAGCATTTTCGATTGGCATTATAAAAATATTTAACTTGTTTGTTGTTTTACTAAAGAAAAATTTATTCTGTGTTAACTTAAATAAAATACAGATTAGTTATTGAATTGATTATTAACATAATTTTTATTAGTTGTTTATTGATGAATCCTAATTTAACCATGATCAAGCAGTTAAATTTATAACTATTCGTCAATAAATAAAAATTATATCTGATTATTATAAACATTTTAAATAATGATAATGAGTTGTTTTTTAAATTAACCTTTTCATCCTGTAAAAAAATAATTTCTAGCTATATATAGGCTAAGAAAACCCGGCCAAAGCACGCAAAAGCGAGCCGAAGGTTAGACAAAAAGGGAGTCTGGAGAGCGAAGTCTTTCCCAGAGATTTATTTATTTCTTCATTAGGAAAATCCTGGCTACGACTATGATGCTATTATAATTTTTAAAATAATATTATAATAGGAAACATAAAATATTAAAGAAGTTTCCGCAAGATGGAGTATTTTTTTAAAAATTTTATTTATATTTTTTATATAACAAAAATACCGGTTTCATTTACAACAAAATATAAATATTTATTTTATAAAATATTGCTTAAATTAAAAAAAATTTATGCAAAGTATTTTGGAAGAGTAAATTTGAAAAATTACAAAATGAAAGAAAAGAACCAAAATAATTCATAAACATAAAAATTTGTAAAAAAAAAACATTAGAATATATATTTTATATAAAAAAGAATTAATTATTGGCAAAAAATATATTTTTATTGATATTTAAATTATTGAAAATAATCAAGATCATGGTTATAATTAGGCAACTTCTTAATATTTTTTGTGTATTGATATAAGTTAAATTATATAAAATAATCAAGATAATAATGTGTACAATTAGGTTTTAAAATATTGAAAAAATCAAGAAATAATTTTAAAAAAAACTAGATTTCAATTTTATTTTAAAAATTAAATAAATTTACTTGTGAAGTATACATCTTTATTCCATGTCTACTGCTAAAAAATCTGCTGAACAAAAAGATATTGACTTAAAAGAAATATTTATTTTATAAAATATAAATTAAGAGAATACTTTGAAATTATCTTTAATAATTTATAATAATTATAAAGGATTGTTATCATATAATATCCAAATATATGTGGTAATAATTTCATAAAATATATTTAAATCACTTTTTGATGAAATCGGATATTTTTTATTCGAGCAAAATAATATACAATATTATTGATAAAGTATTGTTCTAATGGTTTTTTGATAAAATTTAAGATTTTTTTAACCTTATGTTAAGCATATGATAATGGAAACCTGCTAATTTAAAAATAGCCCCCAAAAGATTGACTATACATTATTCAATTGGGAGTTGAGCAGCAGTCTATGTCTGTGTATGTACACTTTTAATGAATCCTCTTTCTAGGTTAGTATTAATTAATATCTTTAATGAGGCCTATTTTCTTTATTACTTCTTTTCAAGTTCCATTAGAGATGGGCATGGACCGTAAAAAAATGCCATGAGAACAAATCAGCGGGGATTAGAAATTTTACATGAATCACAGAAAATCGAAAATAATATATTTAACCTAACCTCTAACCTTACCCATTTTAAGATTTTTTCCCAAAAAATACTTTTAGCACTACACCCAAAACGGGATTTTATTTATATAGAAAAACCCTTATTTCCATTATAACTTTATTAGTTTTTTAATTGTCAATTTTAAATCTTTCCTCTTTTTTTTGGAACGATTATTCTGTAATCAATAATCTCTCTTACTAGCTGAAAGGCGAACGCATTATAATAATTATTTTGTTTTATATAAATGTGATGACTTTATTAAGCGAATTTTTAATTATTGCGAGTAGTTTTGTTAAAACCCGATATAATTTTTTTTTAGCTAAAATAATGTTATGAAAGCATCGAGACTCGGCAAATAGATGTCCAAACATTTTTGCCAGCTATGAGCAAAATAGGCTTACATAATGTTATTTTAATTATAATCTTAATCGGGCCGTTTTTTAAAAACAACACCAATTGCGAAGATGTAAAATAATGCAACATAATTGGGTGTTTGCTGCAAAACGCCCACAATGCATTACAAAAAATGGTATAGTGTAAAATTGAAAAACAATTTAAAAAACGCAAGCTGTTGCTTTATTTTTATCGACAGGCGTGATAAAAATTTTGCAATTCAAAGGGTCGGGTCGGGCCAACAAAAATTGACGTGAATTTTCTTTAGTGTAAGCGTGGCGAAAATAAGCCAGCGCAAACCTCTAATTTCCATTATTATTTCTTCCTAGTGGAAAATTATATAATCGAATTCAACTTTTCCTGATTATATTAAAAATAAAATACCATTCTTTATTATAAAAAATATAATTTATTTTTTTTCCTCAATAATAAATTACTAAGGTGAAAAATAAATTTAATTAAAATTAATTTTAACAAGGTGCAAAAAAAATGCGAGAATACTATTTAAGTTAAAACAAATATTGCAATATAAAGTTATATGTAATTCGATAAATTTGCACTTTGCAAATAACCTGTAACAACGAAAAAATTTGTTCATACTTTTCAAAAAAAAAATTTACAATAAATTTAAATATTGCTTTTAAAAAAAATTATATTGGATTCTGAAAAAAAAATGTTTAAATTTTGGGACTATTTAGCAATTGATGTGATTAATTAAATTAATGCTTATCGCTTCGATACAATTTTTGATTGTCGTTATAACTATTATTCATTCAAAGGAATACTATGAAAATGAAGATGTAAAAAATACACACTTTTTTGAAATTTTATTAATTTCTTAATGGTTAAAACTAGTATTAATGATTATTTGTCTTAATATTTGAGATGTAGCTTATTTATTTTTCTATTCTTTTATGGGATTAATACTGATGAAAATGATGCTCTAGAAGGGCATTGACGTCAGAATGGAGTGGCATAGAGAACAAAATAATAGAACTAGACATACTAAAATTTTATTTTTTGAGTCCCTAAGGTTATCTATAATATTTAACTAAATTTAAAGTTTCCAACACTTATAACAAAACAAAAAATAACCAATTTAATCTTTTTTATACTAATATTTATGAGCATCCCTCAGAAAAATAAACTTAGTTTTTAAGTACCCATAAGGACCAATTTGCATAAATTTAGGATTTATGATAAATGACTTATTTTTTATTAGAAATATCTTAAATTAATTAAGAATATATACAACTCGGCTTAAATCGAGACGTTTAACAACACCATTGGTTTCTATACTGAATAATAAAAATCATTTCAAAATTAGGAAAGATGATAGTTTAATAGGTTACCCCGACATGCGCAGTAGGTTTTGAATTTTAAATTAAAATTTCTGTATAAAATGAGCGCCTCATTTTAAACTTAAAAATCTGATTTTAACCGGAAAGGAATTCCATAGGTGTATAATACACCTATAAATTTCAGCCAATTTTATAATGAATCTTTAAAGAAATTTCAATTTGAAATTCAAAACCTACTCCGTATATCGGAAAAACCTATTAAACTATCGCCTTACCCAAAATTATAATATTCCAACCATTATATTAAACTGTTAATTCAGTCCCATACTTTCATAATCGATGGAATACCGGCCGAAGATTTAAACGAACTCCGAAAATTATATCGGGAAAGGGTGAAATACGTGTTAACTAATTATGGAAGTTACCAGGCTCAAGGATCCTATTTAAAGGTGAATTATAATAGTTTTGTTTTATAGCATTTATTTATTTTAAATATTTTTACATTTAGGCTTACAATTAATAGAGCAATGAATCATGTGTTTTTTTTCTCAGGGTTTAACATTTGCTCAAAATTTTAAAACCCTTAAAGATCTTGATCTGAGGATCAAAAAATGTGAAGATTTTAAAAATTTTGAGAAAGCTCAAAGAAGAGTTTTGAAAAATATTTTTAGTAAAAAAAAATCTATAATTTTCTCTTTATTTTTTTATTTAAAAAGAATAAAAAAAACTTCCCAAGATGTTTTTTTTAATAAAATTGCATAAATTTTACGAAATGATCTTCAATTTTTTTGATCTTCAAAAATTTTTTGCTCAAAATTTTCCTGGTTTATTTTGGCAACGTGTTATTTTTTTTAAACTTTAAATCATTTTTTTGAGTGCGTTTTTTTTTAAAAATTTTAAAATCTGATTTTATGGGAAATGTATACACCAGCAGTTTAGGATACCTATCTTATGAATTGCAGATAATTTTGCAGTTAACCTTTAGGTCATTTATCAGTTATATAAAAAAATCTATGGAAAAACTAATATAAGATAGATATATTAAGTCACAAGTTCAAGGGAAAAAAGACTGATAGGGTAGGGATTTCAAACATGATGGAATACATTTCTTACAAAAATCAGATTTATTTTAAGAAACACGCTCAAAAAATAACACATTGCAGGAAGAAAAACAGATTATGCCTCTAACATATATACATATTTATACCATATTTTAAAATATTTGCAATAATAAATCAATTTTTTTTAAAAAAATATATTTTATACTCAAACTTATTGAAGCATGTGCAAAACTTTAAAGGGATTTTTGAAGGGGACATCATGATAGATCGCGAACAATATTCATTTTTCGATCCGCCAAAGTTTAAATATCGGACTAAGAGGAACGCGATTACCGGGTCTATGGATGAATTTATGTGGACTTCTAACATCATAAATTACAAAATAGGAGACTCTATAGGATGTAAAACAGCATGATTTATATAATAATCTAGCTAGCTTACTTATAAAACCGGTTGTCAGCAAATAGCCCTATAACTGCTTGATTTTATCAAAAAAAGGTATACGTATATATATAAAGTTTAGGGCGGCTATGATTCTAAACTGAACCGGTATGTTTGACCTAATCTTTCTATATGGAGCTTATTTGCAGGCCTGGTTTACCTGCAGCGTTTAGCTTTCTTTTTTATTATTATTTAAAAAAAAAGACAATTTGATTATTTTCTAACCTTGCAAGCCGATATCGACACTCAAATTTTAAGGTTGGCTCTCGAAGCCTGGACAGACTACACGTGTTTAGAATTTAGGTTGACCAAAAGTTCCGACCATTACATCCAATTCGAAGATACGAATGATGACACGTAATTTTTTTTGCCATTATTATTTAAAAATAATTAAACAACATTTAATCCAAAAATCAACCAAATATAATTTTTTAAAAAAACCCTATTTTATTAAAAAAATTTTTTATCAACTTCTAAGGTGTCGCTCATATATTGGACGAGTAGGAGGACAACAAAAGGTCTATTTAGATTTTCCAAAATGCGCCAATGTTAGTGTTAATTTTTTTTTCTCTTAAAAATAAATAATATTAAATATTAACAATTGGCTTAGGGCGCCAATCACGTGATTAATCTAAATTTCTATTGATTTTAAAAAAAGTAACTCTAAGGTTTATAAGAAATAAAGATCGAATCTTTCAAATTATCACGCGTCCAATAATTCTTCTCCTTTTTTTTCACCTAGTTATGAGAATTTTTGGTTTTTATTTTGAGTCAATGCCACCACATACAATCTTTAATTTGATTTATTAAATTAAATATAATAACCAATAAATTCTTAAGTTCCAAATTATTTATATATTCATCTTTTTTCATTAATTTAAACATATTTAGACAGGTGACATTATAAAAGTCGTCGGACACGCTTTAGGATTGTTACATACACACACTCGCACCGATAGAGATAATCATCTGTATCTCCATATATTCAACGTAAATTCTTATTTTATTTAATAATAAAAATATAAGTTAGAGGTTACGTTTGAGAAAATAGATACGTTGAATTAGATCTATTATAAATGAAAGTATTGGTAGTGTTGTTGTCGATTTTTTCAGAATGAGATTAAGATTTTAACTAAAATAATATTATGTGAGCATCAAGATGGCAGATAGATGTCCAAGCATTTCTGCCAGCTATGAACAAAATCTTTAGGATTACATAACGTTATTTTGGTTATAATCTTAATCGGGCAGTTTTTTAAAATCCACCTGAATCGGGTTTCTTAACAACACTATGTATTGGGTCTATATACTTAATGATAATATGATATTATATGTAAATAAAAAATCTTTTTTTTTAAGATTCTCAAACAGTATATATATATATATATATACTATATATAAAAGGAGAAGCTTTTATAACTATTATCTCTAATTTGAAAAGCAAAGGGGTGAAAATAATTTACGCATTAATTATATACGTTAACAAAATATTAAGGCAGATCCTCAATATTACGAGGCATTTAGCATTGATCGAGGTAACCTCATGAATATACCATATGATTATGGTAGCCTGATGCATATACCTCAATACGTAAGTTTATTTAAGTTTAAGATGCTTGAAATAACATGTCTAATATTGATCTATCATATAAAACTTTTCCGTAACTGATTTTAAAGGCGCAATCCCTACTAGATTGATTTAAGTATAAATATCTGTAAAACTTCTTTCAATCGATAGGAGAAT